GCTTTTTTATCTCGCTTCCGATCGATCCTCATATTATCGCCCTCCCAATATCTCGAAAGCTTCGAGTACGATGCTCTTGGAGAATATCTTTCGTTCCTCGATCCGGTTAAAAAGAAGAAAAAAAGAAAATTTAGAGAAACCTTGCCTATAAATTTCGTGACGAAGGAAAGAATACAAATTCGTAAAGGCATTTTCTCCAATTCTTCTTAATCGTGTCAGAGTTTCTCGCCATCCATCTCGATATTATTTAGGCCCTCGTCACTTTACAAAGCATTTCACCCTAGAAACATCTCTTTCTCTCCTTTTCTTTCTTTTTTCTTTCTTTTTTTTTTTTAATAACTTGAACCCTCGTTGGATCAAAGTCTAGGGCCAGAAAGAATGGCTTTGAATCGATTCGCGAAACGAAATATTCGCGAATAAAGCGGTGAAAAGAAAGAAAAGAGGAAAATGTAGAGCGGAGGGGGAGCGAAGGATCGAGAACGTGGTATTGGCAAAGGAAAAATAAACCAAAACGATTTCACGGTTAATTAGATCCGTGAAATTGGGTCGTGGCGTGGTGAAACAGCACGCGAACGAAATTCCGTGTTGTTCGCGCTTTTTGTTTCCGAGCGTGGAGTCGGTACACTGTCACTGGATCGCGTAATTTGCATTCGAGGAAGCGTTCTAACTCGAGTACCCTCGCCACATCCTGGATAACGCTCTGTTCTCATTGAACGCGTAATTACGCGGTCGTTTAATCGCCTTGAAACGTTCGCAACGGTGGTCTTTCGACCGTTTGATACACTTACGTTAGTCAACTTTAATCGCTTCAAACTTCTTGCTTACTGCGCCACGAATAGTTGGCACTTGCGAGAAATTAATTAATCGTATTAATTTTCGACCACGAACTTTTTTTTTCCCCACTAACAATCTAAGGATCTAGAGAATATTCTAAGAATGTTAAAACGTTTCTCTGACAAATTCGTATACATCGACGTTGTGTTCGAGTCGTAAATTCGAGTGGAAGAAGTGTACGTGTAAAAACATACGTGGCTTTTTTTTTTTTTTTTACGAGAAACATCCTCGATCATGTCGGTTCGATGATAATAACTTTACTTCTTTTACGCGTGTATCTGCGATCGTTAATGCGTTCTGCTTCCTGACAATTTCACGAAGTGACTTTTTATAATAGCGGCGTTTGCTGCTATTAAAGCGATGCAAACATCCACGGTCACGAATACGCACGAAACATACTTTTCGTAAACGCTTGAAATTTCGATATTTTCCTACGTTATATACGTAGATTTGTCGCCGTAATAACGTTTATCGAAAGTTGTCATTTCCGATGAAATTTGTTTCGTCGAAAATAAAACGAACGAGTTAACAATTATTATATTATTTCAAATAACAAGTGATATTTATTTGCCTTCTACTTTAATCATTGTTTTCGTATGGGCGTAATTAATATTAAAGAACTTGGAACGAAGATTGATTCAACAAAGATTATTTTATTAACGTTTTCGACAAACAATGTATATTTTCAAATACACGATCGATGATTATATTTTCGGACGTTTCGTAATTAATTTTACGCTTCGAGCATACGTCGAAGATACCGTATTATTATATAAATTTTCACTCCTTTCCCTTCTATCGCGTTTTTAAAATTACGTTTAAAATTTAGAAAAGCTAGGAATCTGGTAACGTTTAATTATAATTATTTCGAATTATTCGAAAACGTAAAGAGAAAAAAAAAAATATTAATTCCGTCTTTTTATTAATCACGAAGTAAATTTGCGAACGAAAAGAAAAGAGGTAGAGCAAAATTACTCGATGCCTAAGAGCGTAAAGCTAGTTTTTCCCGTCCATGATGAAAATTGAGCACGCGTCAGTATTATTAAAGAGAAATTACTCGGAGCCAAATTCTTTGACGAAAAATATCGCGCGCGTGTTGGTTCTAATTATTAATACTCCTTTTCTGTTTTACGTTGAACGAAAGGGGGATTCGTGGTAGATGTATACGCGCGCGCGTCGCGAAATTATATTTAATATTGTTCCCAGCCCAGCTGTTGATATTGACAGTGATGTTTGCGCAAGTGTAACCGCGTTTGCAAATCACGTTGTTCATGTATACACAGAGACACATATTAAAATCCTCGGCCGACCGATCGAGATGAGCAGCCTCGATGGAATTTGAAAACGTGAATCGAATTCGAAAACCGCGATATCAACGATTCCTCTTTTCTTTCCTCTCGCCTCCAGAAGAAAGAGATGTCTCTTCCTGTAACGTATCATCGATAACGTATCGTCGCATTCGCGATTCCTTCGCGAGGCAACGAGATCGGAATTTTCTTGTTCGGCGTATTACCCAAGTTCGATCGAGATTCGGGGAGATTTCAACCGGAAGATCGGCAAGTTTGAAGTTTGCAAGTTCGGCGGAGACGATATCGGTTAATCAATTGGAATCTGTGGAACGGAGAGACGCGCTCGATCGATGGATGGATCGTTCTCGATCGTGGAAGGGGTGGAAGTAAAGCAAGGGTGGGTGGAAACCGATCACAGGCGCGCATCCTGCGCAACATCGATTGGTCGCCGCGACTCTTAATCCTGAAAAATCACCTTTTAGATCGGCCTGCTGGATTAGAGCCGCACGATCCCCCGCACGGTTCCGTGCACGGTTCAATCTTCGAGTATATTTCACGCTTCGAGCTTTACATCTGAAACGTTTGTCCATTGATCGGTTTCCTCGATCCCTTTCAAACGTTACAACCGTTCAGATTAATGCGGGATTATCGAACCTAAATCGCGATAAAGAAGAGATTTCAGGGATTTCGAGTATTTTATCGGTCTATATGCAAATGAGAGGTAGGAGTATTAAGGATCTTCGTTGAGAGCGAACGCTTTCAATTTCTTTTTTTTTTTTTTTTTTTTTTGCGAAATTCTCAAGGATTAAAAAAATAAAAGAAAGAACACGAAAGATGAAATTCAATTTACCAGGATATTAAATCTAGACAGAGGCTAATTTCAATTTCGCGCGAGGAAAAGTTTTTCAAAGTGATTTCTCTTCCCTGTGCAAGATGTCCGCCTGTCCACGTCATCCGCGATATCTCTATTTCGAAAGCTGTCGTGCGATAGATCTTCGATCTTTCGATTTGACGCCACTCACTCGATTATATTCCGTATCGTGACGGTGGATATCTCGTCACGTTATCAAATACGAACGCTTCGATTCGATTAAAAGCGCGTTGCGCCATGGACCGATCCGACGTGAGCATGAATTTTCATGCGGATTTCGCACGCGAGTTGAAAACCGTTCGGGCTCATAATAGACATTGTTCCGCAACAGGTTTCCCCGTAGACTTCACGTGACATCTTCCCTATATGGGAAGAGATACGAGATCGACGCGGCACGTTACGACAGGTAACCGGATTTCACGTTGTATCACCGAAGAAATAATCGATACGATACTCATCGTAAGTGGATCGTTGAAAATTGAATTCGCAAGGAGGTGACAATCCGTTTTATAAGTAGGAATGCTAAGAATGTGAAGAAGAATCGTATTAATTATTCTTGTATCGTTTAAAATTTATGTAAAGATTAAGAAAAATAATAAATAATTAAAATATCACTCCATTTAATCACGCTCCAATATTCAAAATACTATCGATGAATATTCTATCGTTGCATCAAAATGAATGTTGATATCCTCGGCGAGACTTTTAAATTAGAAA